TTAAAGCTGGGGTACCTAACTCTTTCCCAATTTTTTTTTTCCACAAATCACACATCGTATCTTCCAACAGAAAGACTCTTGTAAAAGTCAAATGTCTAATGCAGAGACCAAAAAAAGAAGCATGTGAAAGCTAGCAATAGAAGCAGCTGTTTTGAGAACAAATATTGATGGATTTTATTAGATTTTTTTTCTTTTTGGTTTGAAAGTTAGGTACCCCAACTTTAACCTCATCTTAAAACCTGTTCATTCTTGTTCTAGAATGTGCAATTATATGTACAAGATATATGTTTTTGAGGGCAGTAGCGCAGCGGTTAGCGCTTGTGCTTCACTGGGAGAAGGCCCAAGGTTCGATTTTACCTCCAGGTAATTTTCTATGTGGAGTTTGCATGTTCTCCCTGTGTCTGCAAAGGTTTCCTCTACCATTACAAACATGTGCAATAGTTCAGGCTGAAATGAGTGCGACCTTGGGACAACCGATGCAAATTAGTGCGAGGCTACAATCCGGAGAGGTGTGTTCATGAATTTGCCCTGTGTAGGAAAGGCACTCTACAAACAAAGATGTATTGATTGATTGATAAATAGGGACAATGTTAGAACATGATTAAAAACTCATTCAAACAACATCTACTCCATACCCCTGCTTCACTGAGTTGGATCAGTGCATAAAAGTCAGAGCTGGCGTTGCTCTGACCACCCCCCAGGTCCAGATGCGTCTTCCTGGCCTCAGTGTGGACGTGAGGAGGACGTTCTGCTTGTTACCAGCCATGAGGGCAGCGTCGGCTCCGGTCAGCCGTATAAAGCCCAGTTTGAGTGCACCATCTGGGCGTTTGGACGGTGGTTTTATGAAGATTTGGCTTCAGAGGCTCAAAGAACCACCTCACACTGACCATTCCACAGCTGCACCAAACATCCAGCCAGACACAGAATGACACAGTGCCACAGAGAGGGAGAAACAAGAAACCAATTCTAAAAAGTTTGTATCGTCTACTTAAGGCGTATTCACATGCAGAAGTGGTGTTTAATTGACCAGTGTTGAAATGCAGCGTCACCCTGAGACAACAGCGAGAAAGGTAGGCGTGTTGTTTTGGCTTGTGGTGTCTTCTATCACACAGAAGCCAGGAGCAGTAGGAATCGCCTTATAACAAACTAAGGAAAGTTTCTCTTCCACATGGAGCAATATAGACAGAGATAGATCAGAGAGAGAGGGAGAAAAGAGAGATAACTCAGAGAGGGAGAGACCAGAGAGAGACACCGAGATAGAGAGAGAGAGATCAGAGAAAGAGCAGAGAGAGACCAGAGAAAGAGACCAGAGAGAGAGACCAGAGAAAGAGACCAGAGAGAGAGACCAGAGAGAGAGACCATAGAGAGAGACTAGAGAAAGAGACCAGAGAGAGAGACCAGAGAAAGAGACCAGAGAGAGAGACCAGAGAAAGAGCAGAGAGAGAGATCAGAGAAAGAGCAGAGAGAGAAACCAGAGAAAGAGACCAGAGAGAGACCAGAGAGAGACCAGAGAAAGAGCAGAGAGAGACCAGAGAAAGTGCAGAGAGAGACCAGAGAAAGAGACCAGAGAGAGACCAGAGAAAGAGACCAGAGAAAGAGCAGAGAGAGACCAGAGAAAAAGACCAGAGAAAGAGCAGAGAGAGACCAGAGAAAAAGACTAGAGAGAGAGACCAGAGAGAGAGAGAGAGACCTGTAACTGGGGATGAGTAACTGAAATTTCTCGACTGTCAGATGAAGGTAAAGCAAATTTGAGTAAAGGTGCCATATTACGCTTTTTGACTTTTCTCTGCTTAACTTTTTTTTTTTTAACAGAACTGCTTGGCCTTCATGTAGATGCCCAGAGTAGTTTTTACATTGATTCCCTCAAGCTTTAGTCAGAGAGCAATCTTTCTCTTTCATTCTCCAGAGTCTCCAAAATGACCTGATTCACTTTGTTTCGTAGCACATTTTCACACACGGCTCAAGCTCGTGACAGGAGATAGAAACCAAAACAGCGAATCAGTGCACAGCTTTTGCATAGAGGTGACAGCCCAATGCAAGAAATGGGTATAATTTCTAAGTTTTGAGAGATGTATAGTGCATCACCCAAATTATTATCACGCTTGTGCTTAGGATGGATTGTGAAAAATTAAAAAAGTGAAATATAGGATCTTTAATCTTCCCCTGTAGAAGTCCAGGTGTGGTGTGCTGGACTCCAACCCAGTCCTGGGCGTGGTCCTCTCCTCCGCTGTCTTGACCCTTGGCTTACTCTTGTTGTGTTTCTTCTGTGTGATTTTCTTTTCAATGCTGTTCAGTGATTTGGTGAAACAGTGGATAATAAAGTTAAAAGTTAAATGTGAAAGGTGCAGAATGCCCCCTGCCAGGAACGAACCCGTGTGCCCTTTTTACGACATTATTTTCCCCTTCATTGACGTTGCTGCTTTTATTTGAGTTCATTTTCTGTTTATTTCATTTACTTTATAATGTTATTCAACCGCACCCCTCTGATTACATTCTGTTTTAATGTATTGAGTTTTTCCACCAAATGCATTGTAAAAACTTAGTGGGTTCAAACATGTTACACAAATTTCAATCTTCAACATCACAAGCAACAGTTGTATCAGTTCTGCAGTTTTGAACCCACAGCTGCTCTGCTCCTGAGACCAGCCTCAGCCCTGCTCTTATGCACAGTCACAACCTGAGGCCACATACGGGGGCCCGGGGCCAGGAGGAGAGCCAGGTCAGCAGCTGGAGCAGAGCGTAGTCCTTAAGGCTCTCTCTGCAGCTGGGCCCCTACGTACAGTCAGCTCCGACAGTATTATGTGAGGAGCATGTGCAATCAGCAAGGAGGAAATGAACTGGACTGGAGCTGAGAGAAGAGAGTGGGTGGTCTTCCAGAACTCATCTGATGCATTCAATGTGCTCGATTTGGCCTTTAAACAAATGGTTCTCAACTGGTGAGTCGAGACCCAAAAGTGGGTCATGGGATCATTTTGACTGGGCTGTGAGCCTTTGTTAAAATACGAATCTACCACTCTGCAAAAAAGTCATATAGAAAGTATACAAATATACTTCATATTTCCCTTGATATTTGTCCTTAATTTTAGTTAGTAATTTCGCAGGGGCAGCAGTCTAAGAAGAGAAGCTCAGACTTCCCCTTCCTCCAGCTCATCCATTAGAGCTGGCTTTCCCAGGCCAGCTTAGAGATATAGTCCCTCGAACACTGCATGGGTCTTAGCCAGGGCCTCCTCCTTGATGGGCGTCCAGGACTGCCTTGACGTGGCGAAGCAGTGGCTCTACTTTGAGCTCCTCACCCTTTCTCTAAGAGAGCGCCCAGTCCATGGAGGAAATATGTTTTGATTGTTTGAATCTGTGAATTTTTTTGTATTTCATATTTTATATCATAATTAATATCCTAAATTAAACTTTTATTTGAGTTGCGGCTTGGCGTTATTTAAAAATGATTGGTACGTCACTTTCAAACCACAACATTTAAATACCCCTGGTGTATCCTCTTGCACTATCCTCTTCCTACTTTATCTGTCATCATTATGACTTCAGCTGTAGTCTGTTCATGAAGGCATGTCCCTTTACCTGTCACATACCGTGAGGATGGGATCCTTGAACCCGGCCTCCTCCATCAGCACCTGTGGACTTCTCTTCACCATCTACACCTCAGACTTCACACACGACACACACAGCTGTCACCTGCAGAAGTTCTCCGACGACTCCGCCATCGTGGGCTGTGTGTCTGAGGGGAACGAACTGGAATATCGGTCGGTTATCAAGGACTTTGTCGACTGGTGTGAGCGCAACCACTTGTGCTTCAACACCAGTAAGGCCAAGGAGATGGTCATCGACTTCAGGAGAAAACCACTTTCCCACACGCTGCTGAACATCCAGGGGGAGGACATTGAGCTGGTGGACAGCTTCAAGTACCTGGGTGTTCACATTAACAATAAACTGGACTGGTCCCATAATACAAACGCCCTGCACAAGAAGGGCCAAAGTCGCCTCTTTCTTCTGAGGAGGCTGAGGTCCTTCGGAGTGAGCAGGCCTCTGCTCAGGACTTTTTATGACTCTGTGGTAGCTTCTGCCATTTACTACGCTGCCGTGTGCTGGGCCCCGGGCAGCACAGAGCGGGACAGAAACAGACTGAACAAGCTGGTCAGGAGGGCCAGCTCCACTCTGGGCTGCCCCCTGGACTCTGTGGAGGAGGTGAGGGACAGGAGGGTGCTAGCCAAAGCCACCTCGATCATGAACAACACCTCCCACTGCACAGGACTGTAGAGGAGCTGAGGAGCTCCTTCAGTGGAAGACTGAGGCACCCTCAGTGTAGGAAGGAGCGCTACCGCAGGGCCTTTATCCCCACCGCTGTCAGACTGTACAATAAGTCACTTTAAATGATCACTGTGTGAAAACCTGCACTACTATTGACACTGTTTCCAATTGACACTTGTCACTTTTGTTGTACATAATTATTGTCACTTTATTGTACATATATCCTGCATGTAACATGTTTGCACATTTCCTCCTTTGCACAATCTGAGTGTCTCTATCCATGCCAAATGTGACATGTAAATTTCTCCTCTGTGAGATAAATAAAGCAATCTTATCTTATCTTATCTTATCTTATCCTGACTCTTGGGCTGCACTCCCTCCCCACCTGGGAGCCGCTTCAGTTCTGCATCGCTTGGCCACCGTCCTCATTCTCCTGGATCTACAGCCCGTTTGTGGGAGTGGATCCCTCCTTCAATGTGGACCTTCTTGAGGTTTCCTCACTTTTCTCCAACTGGGTTTTTGAGAGTTGTTCCTCGCTGGGGTCCAAGGACAGTGGTGATAATCCAGAAACTCAACATTCAAGAACATTTGAGGACATTGGTCATCTGCCTCCTATGGACCAATGGCTCTACGTGTTTGATTCTCGGATCTGTGTCGGTGAATTGACAGCTTTGAATTTAAGTCAGAACAGCGCAGGCCTGAACCGTCTCCGCCAAATTTAGTGAAAGCTTTGAGCGCTTTCAGCCTTCAGCTCTTTGACAGTGACACAGTTTTGGCTCGTTCCGCTCGCTTCCTCCGACTCGACTGAAAAATCTCAGCTGCCGTGACCAGCGCTGAAAAGCCGAACGGCCACAGGAGACGGGGTGGCTGTGAAAGGACGGCCAGCGCACAGAGAAACTGCACGAAGAAGAAGAAGAAGCGATTACGTTCCGGTTGGGGTGCGCTCTGTGGCTGTCACTCACGCGGGGGCTGGAGGAGGGACCATGCCTCTCACCGCGGCTCTCTATTGGCCTCATTCAGCTGTCCGTCAAGAGCTGACAGGACAAGCAGTGCTGGGGCCCCGCGCTGTGGCCAAGGCTGTACGGAAAATGTCTGTCAGAGCGCAGGCAGGTGTGTGTGTGTGTGTGTGTGTGTGTGTGTGTGTGTGTGTGTGTGTGTGTGCGGCCTGTCCTCCCCTCTACTTTGCAGCGTGAGAAAACAGTCCAGCTTTGTGACATTCAGAGCTCTGCTGCTGTGACACTTGACGGACAGTTCGACAGGAGATTTTATTTGTTTAAACGTCGCGGTGAAAAGAGACTGACAGCATTTGCTCGGGGGAAAAGTACAGTGACATGGCAGAAATGTAAGTAAAGACCATGGAGTGTTTATCGCTCCTGGTGCTGCGGGTATTACAGCAAGTCATCTGGAAAGACTCAAGACACAGATTGCATTAGAATTTAAATTATTGTCATATTTGCATTAAAATATTGTAGCTGCATCATTAGAGAATAAGACCCAAACGACACAAGATGAGGTATGGATAGATTTATTGCTTTTGAACTTGAAATGTTTATTATGATTTGGTGATTAGATACAGAATACTGCATGACGTCTGTATAAGAGAATGTGAAAGAGATTACTGGTGTGCGAATCCCCCGAGGCCTAGACCATTGTGGCCACACTTACATGTGAAAGGCAGATCCCGTCAGACCTCTGAGGGCCCTGGTTAGTACTGGGATGGGAGACCTCTGGGAACGCCAGGTGCCAAGACTTCTCTTCCGCTCACTTCAGTCAATAGAAGCAGCGTGAGCGGGAGAGAAGTCTATGGGGGTTAGTGCGCGGACGTAGCGCTCCTCGTGTTATTACGCCTCACAATATAGTACCTCTTTTCATCCACTGAGAAAATCGACATGTTACATTTCTGTGTTACAATACTTTGTAGTGTAACACGTCATGTAACTGTATTTAAATAGGGAACACGTGGAAGAGTTTGGTAGCTTCTAACGGGAGCTGATTTGGAACTATACAGTATGTGGAAGAGGCTGCGTTTGTGCTCCGTTTGCATGACAGAGCGCACAGACAAAGACCAGACAGGTACATATCAACTAGTCTAAGGTAAGGTAAGAACATATGTCAGTATGTAAAAACGGTGGCCTATTCCTTTAAGCAAGACACTTCACCCACATTGCCTTGAATTTGTCTGTTGTGTGTGTGAATGGTTGGTATGTGTTGATGGCACATACTGGTTGACTCGCTTCTGTCAGTGAGCTCCAGGGCAGCTGTGGCTACAGTAGTAGTTTATCACCACTGTGTATGGAGTGAAAGAATAACGTCTTTGAGTGACCTGAAAAGTGCTATATGTGTGTAGTTGAGAGTCTGGTGGATGGGAAAGTCTCCCATCCACCAGTCTGAATCATGCACATGTTTAGTCAGTGGTTTAGATCAGCGGTTAAACTCATTTGGTTGTGGGCCACTGTTTTTAGATTTTACTGCTGCACCAAGGCTTCCTTTGGTCTTCATTTGTTTAGAACTAATATTTTGCATCCGATTATCAATTTATTTATTTGTATATAATTTTATATTTTCCTGAAAATATATATGTCTGCTTGAACTGAACCAAAACTGGAACAAAAGCAATGAAAGCTCTTTATTGTCTTCTTTACTTGACTAATTATTGTTCGTATGAAGCGAGGAAGCGAGCACACTGTGGCTACAGTAGTAGTTTATCTCCACCGTGTATGGAGTGAAAGAATAATGACATGTAAAGCGTCTTTGAGTGTGAAAATATTGATTTTATTATTATTCAAATGTTTTTATTTCTGAGATCAAAATTTAGAATAAAATAGATTAATTGGTTGTTTACCTAATGTATTCAAGTGTAAAAGATAAAATAATAATAATAATCCTTTAATTGTACCACAGTAGGGAAATTTCAGTGTCATTGTAGAATAAAAAGCAAATAAGAGCATCAGATTGCACACAAACTCTGGAACTATAATTGTACTTGGTTCGGATGAATTTACCATTGTGTACCATGTAGCAGTAGAGAATCTGACCCGAAATATCAGATGAATGGGTGTGTAATAAAGCAGTTATAATGATAACAAAAAAGTAAAGAGACTATTGACTAGTCTCTTTTTAGACCAGACACTTGTTTCATCCAGTGACAAGTGACTGGATGAAACAAGTACGAAATAATGGCATTGGAGACAGAACCACAAAGATCGTACAGTTGTAGCCATTTTCCCACCCTCTCCAAACAGAGATAGATCTATTGTACATGTTTTAAGTGGTAGGGGAAACTCGGAGAACAGCAGAGCAGACACGAGGAGCACATGCAAACTCCACACAGAAAGGCCTTGAGGTGGAATCGAAGCCTGCAGGACCTTCTTGCAGTGAAGCACACGTGCTAACTGCGCCTCCTGGCCACAGTAGCTCACCACCAGCTTCCTAAAAGAGGCGCTCATTAGGATTTACACCGTTCAAATAAATAAACAAACAAATATCAATCCTTCCACACGGAGCGCTTAACAAAAGAAAACAAACAATCACACAATGCATTACATTCCATTCCATTCCATCTTCTTCCGCTTCATCCGTTGCCGGGTCGCGGGGGCAGCAGTCTAAGCAGAGACGCCCAGACTTCCCTATCCACACACACCTCCTCCAGCTCGTCCGGGGGGGACCCCAAGGCGTTCCCAGGCCAGCTGAGAGACATAGTCCCTCCAGCGTGTCCTGGGTCTTCCCCGGGGCCTCCTCCCGGTGGGACGTGCCCGGAACACCTCCCCAGGGAGGCGTCCAGGAGGCATCCGAAACAGATGCCCGAGCCACCTCAACTGGTTCCTCTCGACGTGAAGAAGCAGCGGCTCTACTCCGAGCTCCTCCCGTGTGACCGAGCTCCTCACCCTATCTCTAAGGGAGCGCCCAGCCACTCTGTGGAGGAAGCTCATTGCGACCGCTTGTATCCGCGATCTCGTTCTTTCGGTCATTACCCACAGCTCATGACCATAGGTGAGGGAGGGGACGAAGAATGACCGGTAAATCGAGAGCTTTGCCTTTCGGCTCAGCCCCCTCTTTACCACAACGGTCCGATACAGCGACCGCATCACTGCGCACGCTGCACCGATCCGCCTGTCAATCTCACGCTCCATCCTTCCCTCACTCGTGAACAAGACCCCGAGATACTTGAACTCCTCCACTTGAGGAAGGACCTCTCCACCCACCTGAAGAGGGCAAGGCACCTTTTTCCAGTCGAGCACCATGGCCTCAGAACAATGCATTACAATCCTGAATAAATTGAGCAACAGTGGTGACAGTGGCTCAGTTGGTAGAGCATTAGCCTTTGGGCCTGAAGCTTGTGGGTTCGAGCCCACCGTAAGACCTAATTCACGACTCCCACTGTTGACTACTATTGTTGTGTCCTTGGGCAAGACATTTAACCCTACTTTGCCTAAAGCCCCCACTGAAAGATCTCAGCTCCTGTGGACTGAGGATCAGTGAGAGGCTGGTGCTCTGTGTACTGGGTGCAGCTCTGACTACCCCCCCGACCCAGAAATGGATCAAGGGGAAGAAAATGGATGGATGGATGGCATTACAAATATTTTACGTAAAATGTTGTATGCACAACTAAACTGTTTTTAACCTGGATTTGAACATTTGTCAAAGAAGATTTTTTTTTATGAATCTGAAATGCTGCCTTCCCATGTTTGGTTATGACTCTGGGCACCGACAGTAGGCCAGTCCCTGTGCTCCTCAGAGTCCCAGCAGAAGGCCAGTCCCTGTGCTCCTCAGAGTCCCAGCAGAAGGCCAGTCCCTGTGCTCCTCAGAGTCCCAGCAGAAGGCCAGTCCCTGTGCTCCTCAGATGTTCCTCAAATGTAAGATAAAACTCAAACATCCATACAGTTTCTGGAAAGATCCTCAGTATTTTCTCCTGCTGTGGTTTTACTGCATACCCTCATTTCAAAGCCGCACACATCGACACCATTTGGCCAGTCTGTGCCTCAGTCCCAGTCCCAGTCCCGGGGCCCACCCAGGAGCCTGGTCCTGTGCCCGGGGCTCGCTGCACCATGTGACCCCGTCCTTCTGTCCCGGGACACCTCTGCACCCACTCTCACACCCCTGACCCCCTGTCCCACGCCCCTCTGCTCCGGCTCTGTCCCCCTCAGCTTCAGGCAGTGACTGAATGACGCGGCGACTGTTTAAGAGTCCGTCCACTGCAGAAGCACACAACGAGGGTATTGTGATAGTGTGGAAGTATTACACTCCTCTGTTACTGCGGATGGAACTGATGGAACACATATAACATATTTAATGCATTATTTGGACAGGGCTCAAGATCATAATATGCCAGCATGTGACCTCACTTCAGCTGTCATAAAGTGTCGTCATCCTGCAGACCTATGTTTTTTGACAGTGGGAAAAGGAGCTGCGTTGTTTGGACCCTTGTTGTTTTTTATCACAGGGAAGACACGTGTCGAGATAAAAGGATTGAAATCAAAATCATTTGTCTCAAGTCACAGTAACATTTATTCAACATTAATGCAAAGTCCCATATGTCAGACTGGATTTTTTTTTGAATGTATATTCTTTTACTTCACAATAGAACTCACAGAGCAGTCTTTTTGATGATTAGAATTAATGGAATAAAAACAAAAATAAATAAAATACGTAAACATTTATTTTTATTTGTTGTATTTCTTTTATTAAAATTGAGTAATTCATACAGGTTTTATCTTTACTGCATACGAAACCTGGTGAATGAAACTGAAATACAACTAGCTTAATGCGTACTGCTGCAAGAAATTAGTGTGTTGCCATGGTAACTAGCACTGGCAAGCATCGATCGCTCTGAACCATTCTAGTTAATTTAATAAACATAATTACATAGAAATAAACCACATATAGAAACAGAAAAATTCACAAAGTTATGAAGATAACTAAATTACTTAAACAGAGTATTTGCACTTCCAAAACAAAAAGCCGTCAAAATAACCGGCTCTGTTAGTTCTAGTGTTGAATAGCTAAAACGAGGATTTTTGCCTCCTCTGCCCAGTGTCCTCTCCATAGTCTCTCCTAACCATCACCTTCAGCCTCTGGCCCTGTGCTCCCTCTGTGCTCTCCCTGTGCTCTCCTCTTTGTGGAGATGTTTTGTTCGGTCTCGTCAGGGTCCTTTGTCCCCTCTGGAGTGGTGTCCTCAGTGACAGGTGATCTCTGGACAGCAGCATCAGCACAAAGACAACAAAACAGTTCATTCAGAACGCCCACATACAAATGGATGGCTTTATTAGCTGCTGGGACGTCACTAACCAGAGCTAGCATATGGTCGAGCGGAGGGAGAAAGAAGATGGGAAATACTCATGCGTTTTTAACCAGCTTGTTCCTCAAAAACACGGACAGTTGTTTTTAGCTCCATCCAGGCTAGAATATTCCTCCTCTCCCTATACTTTGTAAACTTTGACTGTGATTTTTAAGCCATTTCATAGCACTTTTTGGACACTCAAAGATGCTTCACATTATTATTCACACGTCATTATTCTTTCACTTCATACAAAGCGATGATAAACTACTACAGTAGCCACAGCTGCCCTGGAGCACACTGACAACCAGCAACCAGCATTATTGTGGGTGAAGTGTCTTGCCTAAGACACAACCACAGTTTGGCACTTTGCAGCCACAGCCGCTCCACTGTAGCACCTGGTGTTCCCAGTGGTCTCCTTCACAGTACTGACCAGGCCCTGCCCTGCTTAGAGTATCCTACTTTCACATGCAAATATGGCCAGTAGTTGTAGTTGTTCATTCTCTTTGGTCAATAGGAACAATAACTTACATTTTGTTCTACAATTATTTTAATATAGATGATAACAGGGTTTAGGATCAGGAGAATCAGTTCTTTTAAGTTTGCACCCAGACATGTGTATAATGAACTCTGTCACATCTGACAATAATCAGTCACAAATGTAACATAACTTAGTGTCAGTGAAAGCTTACAGTCAGCAGAAACGCAAGATGAAGTCTCAGAGTTCGGATGGAGTTCAGCCCAGCCCTGAAGGCCCTATCTCCACATCTCACACCAGGAAGCACTTATGGTTCTGCGCCGCACTTATAGTTCTGCTCTCATATCAATGTTATCTCTGTCTGAGCTTCAAACAGGAGAAATCGCAGCTCACACCACTCACATGAAGATGGTTTGTTAATTACAGTGGAGATAACAACAGGTCAAAAGGACAAACGTTTTACTCATATTATATCTTGATTCTTGTTATTTTTGTTTTGTACGAGCCTGGCACCCCAACAGGACTGTAAATACTGCAAAAACTAGTAAAAAATCTTTGAATAATTACTTGATAAGCTCCATGTGCAGAGATCTGGAACTAAACCAAAGATCCAATCTGACCCTTACTGTGTATCACTATTATGCAGACTGGTTACTATGGTAACACTGTGTATTACTATTATACAGACTGTGATTACTATGGTTACACTGTCCATCACGACCATACAGACTGTAGTTACTACGGTTACACTATCCATCATTACTATTCAGGCTGTGGTTACTATGGATACGCTGTCCATCATTATCATACAGACTGGTTACTATGGTAGCACTGTGTACTATTATACAGACTGTGATTACTATGGTTACACTGTCCATCACTACTATGCAGGCTGTGGTTACTATGGATTCACTGTCCATCATTATCATACAGACTGTGGTTACATGGTTACACTATCCACCACTATCACACTGTGGTTACTATGGTTACATAACAGGAGTGACAACACTGTATGGGAACCCATACAGTAAAATTAACATTAAGTAAACATTCATTATTACTGTATTTAACCAGAATAGTCCCATTAATGTGTAGAACCTGAAACAACATTGGACATGATTTCTAAAGAAACAAGAGGATATATGCAAATAGCTCCCAATTTAGAAAATTTTAGCAACATGTTTGGGGAGAGGACTAGGGTCAAATGTTAAAGGTGTGTAATACACACAATGTTTTACACAACTCTGGAACAACACATGCATCACTCTGCACAGGACTGTCTGGTTTTGTGGGAGATTTGGAATTGTGTGTAAAACCCAGGGACAATCATTTTAATGCTTGATTTTAAAGATTTCCCTCTTGACTCTGGAACACTGATTCTGACTCAAGTCAGTCCCTGCTCTGCTCCCCCTGCTCCCCCTGCTCCCTCTGCTCCCACTGCAGGCCTCTGTCGTGGGTATACAACGTGTTATAAGCTGTAAATTCTGGTGTAAACGCTGCTAACATGTGCTACAGCTGACCTGAGCCTGGCTCAGAGGACTGGACCAGATTTATAGAGCTGTACAGGAGGGAGAGACTTTCCAAGGGTATAATAATAATAATAATGAAAACAATAACAATAACAATAATAATAATAATAATAATAATAATAATAATAATAATAATAATAATAATAATAATAATAATAATAAAAATATCAATAATAATAATAATATTTTTATATTTTTATATATAATTATAATAATAATACATAATACATAATTACATACGTGTATTCATATTGCACCTGACATTTCCTCAAAACCTCAAAGTGCTACAGTTCAAAATGCAACGTCAAATTTACACAATAAAAGAAAACATTTATCCAGACGCAATTTTTAAAATGCTGAACCCCAAAAGTAGTCAAGTCATCATGTGTTTTCAATCAGGAATGGATATTAACAGATGCCAAAAATCGTATCACATCATGGCCCACAAATAAATTGTAGAGGACCGATAGAACGACCCACCAATGGGATGCGTTCATCTGTCTGAGTTGTTATTGAGTTGGATTTTCTAAGAAACCTACAATGGCAGAACAGAAAACCCCCAAAGGGGGCAGAGACGTGTCAGCCAAGACAGTCCTACAATATCCAGAGACTTTAGAGAGTCAGGGTGGATCTCATCCACTCCCGGCGCCTTGCCACCAAGGAGGCTGCCAACCACCCAGGTGACCACAGCCAGGGAGATGGAAGTATCCACCCCAACATCTTCAGCCTTTGCCTCCGAGACGGAGGACGTGACGGGGGGATTGAGGAGAACCTCAAAGTATTCCTTTCACCGCTCGACAATATCCCCAGTTGAGGTCAGCAGCTCTCCACCCGCACCATACACTAGATTGCCAGAATCTCTTTGAGGCCGACCGATAGTCATGATCCATGGACTCTCTGAGCTCATCCCAGTCCGGGGTTTTTTTCCTCTGCAACAGCCCAGGCTACAGCACGTTTGGACTGCCGGTACTGGACAGCTGCCTCAGGAGCCCCATGAACCATCATGGCTTGATAGGACTCCTTCTTCAGCCTGACGGCATCCCTTACTACCGGTGTCCACCACCAGGTTCGGGGGTTACCACTGTGACCAGAACCAGAGACCTTGCATCCACAACTACGAGCCGCCCAACGGCAATAGAGATGGAGAACATGGTCCACTCAGACTTCATGTGCCCCTCCTCCGCCGGGACCTGGGAGAAGCTCTCCTGGAGGCTTCTTCCCCTGCCAACTCACGACCAGGTGGTGATCGCTTGACAGTTGTTGGCAGTAAAACATGCCATAGAATACACTTACCATCAATGCTGTAAGTCACTACAATGATAATAAGTGAAAAAAATGTCAAGGGCCACTAAAAATGGTTGGATTTGGCCCACGGGCCTGAGTTTGCCATATCTGTTAAAACAGATCCAGACCTACATCACCCTCACACACTGGGACGGCCCAAAGCATTGTGCAGGCAGTTCAAAGGGAAAAAAAGCATGAGTAACCTGATCTGCGGTCTGAGCGGAGCCTGCAGGGCCTTTGATGTTACCGCTGATGCTGCATCAAGTGTAACGTGATAAAAAAACAAGTGAAGGACCAAAATGCAAGAATGTCAAAATAATGATTTAATGATGATAAGTATATAGCTCAAAAATTCAAACAGAACGCAGGGACCAGGAAGACAGACAGACAAAGGACCAGCAACAAGTGGGTAAGAGCACAGGTACATGTCGACACAGAGACACAGGTACATGTCGACACAGAGACACAGGTACATGTCGACACAGAGACACAGGTACATGTCGACACAGAGACACAGGTACATGTCGACGCAGAGAGACACAGAGAAAACACATGAGGGCGGGGCAGACTATCAACAGGGGAAGTAAAAATAAAAACAAGTACAAAATAACACATAATCCACACCATGACATAAGAGCCGTATTGCTCTGTGCTCTTAAGCTATATACAGGTGGAAAATGCTAACCCACAAGCTCAATAAAACCCAATAGGGAAGTGCTCGTGGACAAAGTTTGGCTCCTATTGATTAACATTGAAAAGTTTACTATTTTTGGCTCAGAAACCGTTTGTGTCACACTCTATACACTATAGATACATACAGCAGACACTATATTGTCTTTATGAGCCATATCGACTAGTTAGATGTCTTCATTCATGAGGAAAACTCCAGCTTTCCTTAGCAACCCTAGCATGTGGGTTGCTTACTTTTACTATTGTTATTGTAACTTATAGAATCATGTATTTATTTGTTTGGATGGATGGATGGGTGTCTGCTGCTCTATCTATCTATCTTTCTCATCTATCTGTCTATCTAACTATTTATCTATCTAGTTTGAATCTGGAACACATTCAGAGGAAATGCCCATTAAAGGATTTTGGTTCCAGCTTTTGTTAAAATCGTCTTCTTCTGCTTTTAGCTCTCAGGGCAAAGGGCAAACTTTTCTATCATATTAGATCAATACTGAGATTTCAAATGTACAAAATCCTTATCTAAAAGATCCACACGTGTCTATCACTTCATACACTTGATATGATTGTGAGCCTTCTCTCTTCACCTCCAGCTAAACCCCTCTCCAGGTCTTTGTCCGGCCGTGCTCCGCCGCTGACCCTCCGGTGGCGCCTCCCGCTGCTTGATGGACAAACAGGACAAAGCGGAGCAGCGTGGAGAATGCGGACCCTCGCAGGCCTCTTAAATGTGTCCGCGGGAGTCAAAGTGCGGAGCTACAAAAACACCAGGCCGACCGTGCGGACATTCCAAGAGCCAGGGGTAGAGCGGTGAAAGCAGCCCGCGACCGGAGAGTAGAGCTGGGGAGTGGAGAGGGGGAGACAGGGGAGTCCAGAGGAGAGATTCACAGGAGTTCATATGACAGGTTGGAGTAATAACCCTCACTGCAAAGAATAATGA